TACCTTAACACTTTGTAGTTGAGTATAAGTTCCAATCTTGCTGACAGAGTCAGGAACGGAAAATGACCTGCTGTATCCAATGTGTATAATTAAAGACAATCTTCACTGTGATAGTACGTACCTTAACACTTTGTAGTTGAGTATAAGTTCCAATCTTGCTGACAGAGTCAGGAACGGAAAATGACCTGCTGTATCCAATGTGTATGTTCTCTTTACTTCCAGAAGTTAAAATACCTTTCTCCGGTTCGGAAATATTGATTTTGCTATACAGAAGTGGAGAATGAATCTTTAGAGTGTGACCATTATTGTACAACGTATCAAATTGCGAATTAAAAGATGGCACCGTTTGGATACCTCTTTGGTAGGATAAGGCTACAGATGAATGGAAAGAAGTTCCAGTTGTAGACACCATCACTGGTGTAATGGAAACAGGAAAAGATTGAAAAGCAGAAGATGTAATACTATTTATATTCGACGTCTGGGGGCGATGGGCTTCATTTTGTGTATCACTAGCTGAGATTTTTATCATCTGACTTCTTTTTTCCAGTTCTGACGGTGTTTGAGGTATATTTTGGTGTTGAAGGACCTGACTTTTTTCAGTCATTCCTTTTCTCTGTGTCTCAGGTGAGATGTTTCGTCTAGTAGGGCCTTTGTTACTACTTACCCCCTGATTCCGATACTGGGTTGATTTGAATTTGGGAGTTTGAGATGCTAAAGCTATAGCTTCTTGCATTTGTTCCAATGTTGGCTGAGGCAACCTTCTGTGGATTCGTCTGGCTCCAGCTGCTTTCGAGCTTTGTGGTTGAGAAGTGGTCACAGCCTGAGAACATAAAGCAGAAGTTCTATGTTCTTTTAGCATTGATCTGGTCATCTCAATAACATTATGAGTCACAGGTTGACCTTCTGATGTCACTGGAATTCCATTACTAATTCTGGAAGAATCTGATGACATTGTGTATAAACTGGATGAATCTGAAAATGAAATTTGCTGCATTTTAAACTGAGGCTCCTTGGGATTTGCTTCCGAAGATCTCTGAAAACTTGCTAGCATTTCAGGAATGTTTCCACTGGTTACTCTAGGCATAGACATTTGAGGAATAAGTTCTTGGTACTTTTCCATAAGCTTTTGTTCTGCTGCCTCGACAGAAGGTGAGACGTCAACAATTGGGGAAAGATCCATCACCGGGGACCATTCTTGGCTATCAGGTATTTGTTTCTGTCTCTGTATGTCGAAAGGGTCTAGTTGAGGTGGTTGAAAAGTAGTCAGTTGTTGATCTTTAGTAACATTATTTCGGTAATAATACTGTGTTTGTTGAGAAATACTCTGAGGAATAGAAGACATAGTCATCACATCCAAAGAGAAAGAGTGGAGATTGTCTCTAACGTTTTCAGTTTGAATAAAATTACCATTGTTTGTGTCAATGTATTGAACATTTGACATAGACAAAGAACGAGATTCTCCTAAGTTGAGATGTTGTGAGGAATGATGAAGAGCATCTTTCTGGAAGGACACTGAAGTTTGTTGAGTCCTGTCTTGATCGGTTGCATACACTTTTGTGGAAACGGTAGTCCAGGGCAGTGGTGGTTGTTGAATCCTGTCTTGACAGGCTGGCTGCATTGTTGTGGAAACAGGTGTCCAGGGCAGTAGTGGTTCTTGAGTCTTGTCTTCATTGATTGAATGCACTGATGTGGAAATGGGATCCAAGAGCAGTGAATGTTGATGAGTCCTATCTTGATTGATTGGATGTGCTGTTGTGGAAATGGGAGCCCAGGGGAGTGGAGGTTGTTGACTCCAGTGTTGATTGGCTGGCTGTGCTGTTGTGGAAACGGGAGCCCAGAGCAATGATGATTCCTGAAATATTTGTTGACTAGCGGACTGAGGTGCCATGGAAATAGGAGCCTGTGGTTGCACCATATTCTGAAACGTTTTACCAAGTGATTCACTTCTCTGAAGCCTGTTTTGTTCAGATTGCTCACTGATTCTTTTGACATCTGTTTGCTGGGGTTGAAAGGCATCTGAAAAAAAAAAGTTCAAAGTTCCAGGGCTGGAACTACTAAGATACCTTACTTAGACGTTACATTATCGTTAAATTAAAGGCAATTTTATGATTAAGATTAACTCAGGTTAGAATTCAACCAAGTAAATGAAACAATTTCAAACGATATGGTTTATCAGTTAATTCAATTTGGATTTTGAATCCTGAAATGTTTAATTAACTAAGAAATTGAAATTTTATTGTTGTTGTTTTCTTAGTGAAAGACTACACAATTGGCTATCTACACTCTGCTCATTAGAATGAATCGAACCCCGAACTTTGGAATTCTAATTCTATAACACACACAAAATTGAAACAATTGAACACGATAATTCGTAATTTTTTTAAATTCTGGTAAATTTCAGAGATTTTCAGCTCAGTAAAAAATTAAATTCTAAATCTTTGAAACATATTTTCTTTCTCTTTTAATTGAGTCCGAACGACGTGATAACATAGGAGTATGTTATTAATAAAAACAAAATCAAACTTCTTACGAGATTTGGGGATTTGAGGTCGTCCACGTTGTTCCTGCAACAGGAAAAAAAGATAACATCAAAAAACTGATTACAATACGATCATGAAGCAAATTCTAGCCGCTTTCAACTGCCAGAAAATAAATCATCTTGTAATTTTTGTAGTCATTGTTAAACCTTGTCAGGCCTTTTTTAGTGGAATCTCCAAATATTATCAGACGAACAACAAAACTACGCCCTCTGTACGACGAAAGAAAAAGTTTGATCTCAAGATAAAAAATATGTATATTATTTATTATTGGGTACGCGGCTTTAACAAAAATAAAACATAAAGACAGAAAACACACGCACGTAAACAAAAGTGTAATATAATTGATACTTGAAGACGTTGGTACTTGGTGAAACTCTATAATTACAGAATTGAGAAAAAACAAAGACAACGTTTCACAAATACTTCATTTATTCTGTAAAAGTGTAATAATATAAATACGTATATTAATGTGAGGATAATGTGTCCTTTCGGTTAATTTTAGTATGGTATTCAGTTGGACAAATAACTTTTTGTAGGACATAGTAACACATATAGCAACAAATACATTCACACTGTGATGAATTATGAACATCATTCACACTGTGATAAACTATGAACATCATTCACACTGTGATAAACTATGAACATCATTCACACTGTGATGAACTATGAACATAATTCACACTGTGATAAACTATGAACATCATTCACACTGTGATAAACTATGAACATCATTCACACTGTGATGAACTATGAACGTCATTCACACTGTGATGAACCATGAACATCATTCACACTGTTATAAACTATGAACATCATTCACACTGTGATGAACTATGAACATCATTCACACTGTGATAAACTATGAACATCATTCTCACTGTGATAAACTATGAACATCATTCACACTGCGATAAACTATGAACATAATTCACACTGTGATGAACTATGAACATCATTCACACTGTGATAAACTATGAACATCATTCACACTGTGATAAACTATGAACATCATTCACACTGTGATGAACTATGAACATCATTCACACTGTGATAAACTATGAACATCATTCACACTGTGATGAACTATGAACATCATTCACACTGTGATGAACTATGAATATCATTCACACTGTGATGAACTATGAACATCATTCACACTGTGATGAACTATGAACATCATTCACACTGTGATGAACTATGAATATCATTCACACTGTGATGAACTATGAACATCATTCACACTGTGATAAACTATGAACATCATTCACACTGTGATGAACTACGAACATACAAAGAAGCTATTTTAATTGTTTTAAGTTTGTTGTTAAGCGCAGAGCTGCACAGTGGGCTATCTGCGCTGTGCCCACTTCTGGAATCAAACCCCAAATTTTAGGATTATAAGCCCTCAAGCTTACCTCTAAGCTACCGGGAGGCAGGCTACAAGAGAGAAAGAGAATAATATAGTCAACGTTTCGGTCACATGACCTTCGTCGTTTCGCCGAAACATTAATATCTAATTATTTTTCCCTAAGAGCTTATTTAACTATTCCTTCGAATACTGTAAAATTAGCTTAATTTTTCTCTGTTTTTGTAGTGTCACCATGGTAGTTTGATATTCTCTTTCCTACAAGTGTCACCATGGTAATTTGATATTCTCTTTCCAACAAGTGTCACCATGGTAATTGCACGATCTGTTTCCTACAAGTGTCACCATGGTAGTTTGATATTCTCTTTCCTACAAGTGTCACCATGGTAATTTCACGATCTGTTTCCAACAAGTGTCACCATGGTAATTTCACGATCTGTTTCCTACAAGTGTCACCATGGTAATTTCACGATCTGTTTCCTACAAGTGTCACCATGGTAATTTCACGATCTGTTTCCTACAAGTGGCATCATGGTAATTTCACGATCTGTTTCCTACAAGTGTCACCATGGTAGTTTAAAGATATGTTTCCTACAAGTGTCACCATAATAATTTCACGATCTGTTTCCTACAAGTGTCACCATGGTAATTTAATATTATGTTTCCTAAAAGTGTCACCATGGTAGTATAATATTCTGTTGCCTACAAGTGTTACCATGGTAATTTAACGATCTGTTTCCTATATGTCTCACCATGGTAATTTAATGATCTGTTTCCTACAAGTGTCACCATGATAATTTAATGATCTGTTTCTTACAAGTGTCATCATGGTAATTTAACGATCTGTTTCCTACAAGTGACACCACGGCGGTTCAATATTCTGTTTCCTACAAGTGTTACCATGGTAAATTAACTATATGTTTCCTACAAATGTCATCATAGTAATTTAATGATCTATTTCCTACAGGTGTCACCATGGTAATAAGTATTTTAATCCTAAACATCCGAACTCAAACAATTTAAATGTGTTTATGGATTAATGAAGATTAAACTGTAGTCCGATTGGCTAGACATATTCAACGTCATTGGTTAAATAACAATTAAATCTAAATATATATATATATATATATATATATTGAACTTATTTACTTAAGTTCGTGCTGCACTGTCTGTTTCCAATAAATACGTATCTGACCCACATTGTTTTAAACCAACATCTCTATAATATCACGTATCTGTCCTACATTATTTTAAACTAACATCTCTTTAATATCACGTACCTGTCCTACATTGTTTTAAACCAGCATCTCTATAATATCACGTATCTGTCCTACATTGTTTTAAACCAGCATCTCTATAATATCACGTATCTGTCCTACATTGTTTTAAACCAACATCTCTATAATATCACGTATCTGTCCTACATTGTTTTAAACCAACATCTCTATAATATCACGTATCTGTCCTACATTGTTTTAAACCAACATCTCT